ACATTTAAAGGGAAGAACTTTATGTTATTTATGTTATCCTTTTCTTTTATTAAGTTAGATACTTTTATTACGTTCACAGAACTTTTAGTTTAATTCTCTTATTAAGCGTTCTGAATTTGTTAAAATACTGTCAGAATTGTCAGACATAGACTTCCTTTAAATAGCAGAATTTAGTCAAGATACTAAATCTTTTAGATAAAAAAGTGTTTAATAAGAGTTTTATTTTTCTTTGTAGTAAAATATTTGACGATAGATTCCTTATATTAGGAGGCAAAAACTCCTGTCATGCTATCCAAGATTTTGAAACTTAATGCAATACTTATTTTTATAAAACTGATCTTACTGTAGAACAGGGATGTCAAACTCATAGGTACACTTGGGCCAAAAAAACAAGGTTTAACTTTAGGCGGGCCGCAACGCAAAAAAAAAAAAAAATCAATATTCATAGAAACGTAGATTTATTTCGAATAATACTATAATAAACATATATATATATATTCATATAGAAAAGAACAAGAAAAAAGAAAAATTTAATGTTTACGTCCTGATACTTGACATCTCTCTTTTCTGCTATTATCTTTTCCTATTTCGGGAGAAAGAAATTTTGTTTGCAGTGATAACTTTCAACGCTGACCCAAGGTGAGCATCATTAATACATCATTAAACGGTTTCTAATAGGACACTTATTACCTTTCATGACTGAAAATAACTGCTCGCACCGATAAGTGCTACCAAACCATGGAAATATTTCATATGCGAATTTTCGGGTATTTTCAAACCTGGCTGGCTGGTAAATATTTGTAAAATTCAGGCACGCCCACTTCAATGAATTTTGCTTTCAAATTTGAGTTGCATTGAATCTCGATCACCTCCATTTGCATATGGCTGGGTACTGAGTCAATACTTATTGAGAAAAATCGAAGAAAAAAAAAAAAAAGAAAAACGAAAACAAATTTGTCTTCGAGGGAACTAAAAATCATTAAACCTCGTTTCAAATTCAGTTGTTAAATTTGCAATTTTTTCTGCGTATTTTGATACGAACAAGTATCATCTAAACTTGATTTGTTCATGCTGCACGTCGGGAAGTGCGTCAAATCTTCATTTTTAAGTTGTTTTTCCCAAAGAACTAGTTGACATTTGAATGCTTTAATAATGTCAAACATGTTCGTAATGATGTGATCTTTTCCTTGTAACGATAAATTTAAATCGGTTAACTGTTTGGTTATATCAACCAAGAAAGATAAATCTTGTATCCCGTAACAATATGAATTAAGTAATAATTAATAATAAAGCAAAGTGCATGCACATGCATGCACCAATATATCGTACAAAACTAACATACAAAACCTGATTGGAAAACTGAGACCATGAGTTCGGCCACATTCGGCTATCGGGGGATGCGTACAATTCTGAGCGCACGTGTCCTCCAAAAGCCGAAGGTAGCTGAACGCAAGCTACTCTCACGCATTTGTAATTTAAGTAGTATGTGTGTCAGCTCGCTGTGAGTAATCTAACAACACTGAATAAATTATCGTTAATTACTAACAGTAAACATTTCATTTTTTCTTCGTCGATATGTTATTTTATTATTATATATTATTATTTGCCGATATATTGGCCGGGCCATAAAAATATTTGTTGTGGGCCGCATGCGGCCCGCGGGCCGCGAGTTTGACATCCTTGCTGTAGAAAACTGAATGTATCTTCTGTTACAAGTAAAGTTATGCCCTACCAATTAAAAAATCTTTAACACAACAATACAATTGATAGTCAAAGCTTCCAGAAATGCAATGTTTTGACGGAGAAAATATATCTCTTATCCATGATTTGCCTTTGGATTATAAGTAAAACATCAGGTTTCAACACCAGTTTAAGAACTTTGAGACTAAGCAAATCCTTGTTCCTCTTTTAAATAAGTTTCAATTAAGTTAATTAAGCTTTTATTTAGTTCACGCATCGTGTTTGAACCACCAGTGGTCGAGCGGTGAAAGTCGCTGAACACTGGTATTTTGCTCAGTTCTAATCCCAGTGAATGGGCCGGCTGCATGGGCGTTTTCGTGTTTTTCCCCATGTGTAACGTGTATACGAGCCAGTTTCCCTTGAAACGTTCCCCACAAAGGCATTCCTTCCTTTAGGCAGATAGCCCTCTATTGCTTTGCCATAAGTAAACATACCAAAACTACTCATAGTGTTTGTGTCTATCATCGAAATTTTGTCATCTATTTTTAGCCTACTTCGTACCTCTGAAGAGCAAATTTTCTACACACATAGTTTGTAGTTTATTTTGTACACATACGATTTTTTTTTTACGGCTTTTGGACCTGTAACAGTGGCTATGGGCTACACAAATGTACGCAAATAATTGCAGTTAAATTCCTCCATTCGGAGACGATATTCAAAAGAAACCCAAAATTTAAATACATGTTAGTAACCGTAGCCACAGGTTATTATGTAGTATGTCCACTAAGATTGGTTAAAAAAATCAATTTCAAAATTTTACAAACTCACCATATTTTATTCTCACTAATTTTTCTTAAGACTAAATTTCAACTAATAAATACTTATACAAGACACTTATATAAAGTATTAGTGGTTTCAAAATTAGCTGCGTACATCCAAATAAATTAACTTCATATCAGAACATCTTTCATGGACAGTCTTTCTCAGAGATGATTCTCACGTGCAAATAAAGACCTTTTAGCATAATATTCTTCAAATTCAGGTTGATCATTAATTCACCAGCAGGATTTGCCTCGAGGAAGATTGCTTTCACACAGGAATTTGCAATAAAATCCGACTTCCGCGTATGCATTCCTGAAGATTTTATTTAAAAAACTCGTCATATCAATTTACTAAATTCGAAAATAGAACTCGGAAGAATTGCTTAATGGTTATTATCTCTTCAACAACTGGTTTGCTAGAATTCTCAGAATGATTATCTGTTTAAAATTTCTTGCAATTAATAGTATCAATCGATATAAAATATTTTTCATAATTTCAAAATTATTATAAGCTGTTTCTCGAAATACAGCTCATGCATTCTATTATGCATCTCACGTATGATCCAAAGTATTACTTCAGCAATGCAACAGATAGACCCAAATAACAAGAAGTGAAAGCTATACATGCGGTTTTTTTATCTCTTCGTTTCAAACTCATAATAAGCATTTACATCTATTTCACATTGCTGCCTGTATAACTATTTGTGTTGACGAACGTATGCATTAGTACTACTATAATCTATATAGCTGTCTCCATTTAAGCTAACTAATTAAAGTTTTAATATCTCGTTTATATGGATGTTGAATATAAAAAACTGAATATTAATAGCTTAGCATTCTCGGCTGATTCTGATCAAAGGCGTAGAATATAGCATTTAGACATTTTAAACATTTTAAACGTATATTTCTTTCGGATAAAACAAAGCATATGAAGATTAACTTCATATGTTTTGTTTTTATAACCCAAAAGAAAAATAGTATTTCATGATAGGTATGAGTAAACTAGGTATGTGTGTTTTGATGGCTAAGTATGTATAAACTTCCGTACACAACTCTAAAATATTTTTGGTTACTTCAAACTTTTCTCAATTTAGGCTATCCAAATCGTAACCGAAACTAGCAAAAATCAAACTGATTGCTTAAATAATTAAATTACCTCTTCCTCCGCTTAAATATCAAGCTGAATTACTCACATTTATAAAACAGTGATTAAAAATGTGATACTACTATTTTTCCTGAAAAAAAAAAAAAAAGAGAGAAAACATAAAAATTAAGTATTTCAAAATGTACTACAGAACTGGCAAGAAACATTCACAACATAACGAAAAACTTCTATTCTCTCTTATTTTAGATTCGGCTATCTCAAACGAAGTTTCAATAAATATTTATTAGTGTTAACAAAATCAATTAATTTATTGGTCTGAACAATACGAAATCATTCCCTATTAAAATGCCTTTTCAAATATCGTTTCTGTCATCAATGAGAATAATAACCTTAAAAATAACGGATTAAGATAATTTATTAATCATTCCTTAACTTTTACAACATACTTACTTAATTTTAATACCTAGATATGATATTTACACCATTCTTGTAGAACACCTTCAGCCTATTAAGCTCATTAAGGATGCAGTTTCATCACAGAGTCTAATTGCACAAAGTTCGATTTTAATTTATGTGACCGTTGCAAATTTTTTAAATATTTGGCATAAAATTGCTTCATTTAATTCTTAAATGACCTCTTTCAAAAGTATTCAACTTGTTTCTTATTTTCCGTAATAAACTACTGACGTGACTAAAACGTGCTTCTACTAGATAAAAAGGAATAGTTAATAAGATTGGTTTGGTAACCATTTTTTGTTTAATTTTTTTATTTGTATTTCTGGGATTTACTTTTTTCAAAATTATTATTGATTTTGAAAATACATTAATTAATTTTAGTGTATTCCCCTCCCCTATATTTATTTATATGACTTCATCTTTACTATATGATATCGCGTTATGTCAGTAAACAATTAACTATAAATTTTACTAGCAGTTTTTTGTAATCAATTGTATATTAAGTATGCCGATCAATTGCTGGTGCGTATACAGCTCCTAATCTATATCCTTTAAAATTTCACAGACTCCTTCTCAAACTACATTTTGGAACATTCTTCCATCCGTCGGAAAATATGGATGCGCGGTAAAAAGTTATTTGTAATACCTATGCTGTGCCCTTTTGAGAAGTGCTATGACTAAGAGTGGCGCTTTACAATTGCAAATAATGAAAAAATATAAAAGATTTGTAATTCTATGCATAACTAGCTTTATCGATTTTATTTCGAACAGAACAGGATTAATGAATGCAAGGAAACATACATATGCTACCTGCTAACCCCAATTGACGTTTCAAACATTGGCAGACTTCGTGGAAACGGGACGCAAACACGATATTCAAACAATTCACAATGCAGGAAGAATAAAACGTAATTTTAAGGAACAAGAATTTACAGTACCTAAGAACAAATCAAGTTTTAAAGTTCGACGAAAAGCACGCTTATTTCTGTGTTCTAATCGTCCTGTTTTGGCTTATTGACAAATTCTCTCTAGCTATTTAAATTGTTTAATCTCTGCTGCCAGATTCATTGACAGTGTACTTATATATGAATCGGTGGCTTTGTCTGCTGAAGTCGCGACAAAAATATAACTATTGTAATAATTATAAATCTTGTTGCTACAGTAGAATTAATATAGCCAGCTTAAAACTACTCTGTTTATATGAACAATATAAATATTTTTTAAATTAATTAAAATTAGAATCTTATTGAACTCGTACCTAAATTACAGATTAAAAATTGAGTATTATAAAAATTAAGAAAAATTATCAGTTTTCATCAATCAACAATTACATCAAACTTATTCAAAAAAGTATATCTGCTAGCTTTTCTTACGGAAAAATCGCATTTATTACAAATCTCTAAATGCCATTTTTTGGAATCAATGAATAACATATTTTCTAAAAATGAATTTAAGTATTACTCCTCAGATCATTTATAAATTCATATAAAAATATTGTAAAAGTTTCATTCTTGAGTTTTCATATAGTGACAAATTTAATTTCTTTATAAAAAGATGAACCCTAGTCTTGCATTTTACATTCAAAAACACATTAAATACATTACAAAAATTGTGCATATTCATAAATTTCAAAAACATTTCTAAATAATTCTAAGTATGATAAGTAGTGTGTTAAACGTACTCAATACTTCTTTTTTCATGTTTATGAATGTTAAAATTAGCTGGGTTTCTAAGTATTACGGCGTCGAACCGTTTAAGAAATTTTAACAACTACTTCGGCGTCTTCAAGCAAAACCAAAGAATTTTTGTCACCTTCTTAAAATCACGATTTATCTTTGATGTCAAATGCATGGTTCAATTACGTCAACAGCATCCTAAGTCAAATTTCAACCACGTATCCTTTCAGGTTAGCCAAGGTCACTTTCGCTATCTTCCACTAAATATGCGAGGTGAACGCAACCTTATTACCAACTTCGTCCACTGTGAAAGAATTGTGTAAACTGCATTGCTGAAAACGGTTTTAGTGTTTTGGCCGTCTCCATAGCAAGGAACAGGATTGACAACTTGTAAGTGTGCTTTCATTTAAAAAATTGTATTAAATAATTTGCTAAAAATTACCTGCCTGCGTAAAAAAATAGACATACTTTGCAAATTCTCTTAATTTTGCACGCGGGTATAGTTGAACAACTCTCTCTTTTATTGCATTCGGCAATGCCAAAAGTATTTATATAGATATCCCTACCCGACTTAGCCTTTATTTTCATAATCAATAGTTAGTCATAATCATATACTTTCAGTTATAGAAGTGCTTTAAATGGCGAATATAGCCATGTTTTGGCAATGTCAAATTTAAAAAAAAATTAACTTTTGACAAATAACTAAATCTAATTTTTACTGCGGTCTTCTGTCTCCTATACTTATATTTGGAAAAGTTTTACTCTCGTTATGAAAAAAATCAGAATACGAGAGTTTGACTTCCATAAATTGACCCGGATATTTAATTTAAAAATTTGCAGTTTTTCATGCTATTTTCAACTTGCTTTGAGGGATCAGTAATTAAATTAGAATAATTCAATTAAATGCGTTTAAATGAAGTACAGCAAAAAATTTGCATAATTTAATAGCCCTTACAAGGCATGTAGTTGTTCACATCAGATTTGTTTAATTTTAACACTGATTAGTTGAATTAAAATGCATATTTATATAGTCTAAGAAAATTACGATTTCCATTCCCTGCAAATGTTTTTCTAATAATAACGAAAGAAAGCAATAAACAATAGGCTATATTACGTTTATATCGAAATTGTGTAATGAATCACCTATTCGTCGAATTTCAACTAAAAGACTTAAATTTCGATTCTTCATCAACTATTTTCCCTATTGATAGTAAAGTTAATTTCAAGAACATTCTACGCTATGAATTTACTTTTCATTCAAGTAAAAGATTTTTATTTTTCATGATTAAACAAGTTTAATTTCCATATTTCCATGACTTCTGCCTTGGAACTGTTTGCTGTCGTTATTTATTACGGTAAAATGTGTTGTCAAATCCCCAAATAAAAAATAAATTTAAAAATCTTTTATTTTAATGAAATCTTTTGTTTCTCGTGTCGAGTTTTTTATCATAATTCTTATTTTCATGCATTGCATTATAATTTTTCCTTAGATAATATTGTGGGGAAGAACTTAAATTTTGCTTTCCTTAGAAATGTATAATGTCACTTTCATATTAAATTAGTAGCTGTTAACTTCAAAGCAGTTGCCTAAAACCTCTATTAATAACATAATGCTAATTTATCTTTGAATTTTGATGCATCGCTTATTCTTAAATTTAGAGCATAAGCAGACCCATCATATAAATTACCACCTCTAGAGTCATTAGCTGACAAGCACTCTAAAGGTTTTTCTTATCTCCGATTACTCCGTTAATACCTACAGGATCAGATAGAGGAATTTCTGTCCTTCACAAGAGAAGATATCGAACCTCCCGGCGATAACTGTAAAACATTCGGGGATGGACAAGCCTGTGAGCAAAAAACAGGTGTGGCTTATTTTCGTAACTGCCCTTAGGCACCGTACCATTAGCGAGTTAATTGAGTAAACAGTTCACACAATGTTAGGCTGGTGCCTACAGCATTTTCAGTTTCAGATTGGCAAATAAAATATGTGTATTATTTTCGAGTAAAGCGGTAGTTGTATGATAAGGCTCATGCCTGGCAGGTTCTTTGTTTATTCTACTAACCTAACTGCTGTTTGTATAGTGTGATACATGGCATGGGCCTGTCCGAACACTAACAATTAGTGATGTGGAGGAAGAAGCGTTTTCTGTGATTAGATAAAAGAAAATATAACGGTAATGGCTTGTCATGCTTCTTCTGTGGTAAATAATAATGATAGAAATGATGCAAAAGTATCAAACAAAAGGACACGACTTTAACGTACAAAGACAAGCCCAATGCAATTTCTTTAGTCTGGCAGAGCAATAATAATTCGTAGTAAAAATTGCCTGAAAATAAAAGAAAACACAGAAAATAAATGAGGCAAATTTTCACGATTGTTGAGACAAAAAGTAAAATGAGACACAAAATGGCATGAATTCGCCAACATATGTGTTAAATATAAATTTATGACTATGTATCCTCCAATCGCCAATAAATGGCAGTAGTGTTTATTTATAAAAAGAAACTATGATGTCATAATTGTGTATATGTATTAGTTCGCCTTTGGTATTCGTCAATAAACGTTGTGTGGAATAACGCTCTCTGTTTATTACTTTAAATTTGATCCAGTCTGATTTATTAGAGACTTACATATATTTTGTTTAATATGTAACATAAAAAACTCAGAAAACATGTAATATAGAAATACAGAACTTTCAACTCAATACCTTACATAAAGAATGTGATAAAAAAACACCTGTCTCGATGGATATCTCCAATTCTAAATCCGATACATATTTTCTTTACTTCTTCTTCAAATTCCTCTTACAAACGTTTAATTTACTGTAAGGAAATATGCAACGCTTTTGCCTGTGAGTCTAGTGCTATCATTACTTTTTTGATTGTCATGTGTCCATCGTCTTCGCTCATAGCACTGCTTTCTTCTGCCACATTAGCATCCGTAGAATATAATGCATGTATGATAGTGTGCAGCTTCATGACGGAAAACATGTTGTTTGTTGATACCAAAATGCCTCGTACTACACAGATGCAACTTGTTTGACAATCTGTGCTGTATATATCGGAAGCATTGCTGGTGATTGGAATATGTCATACATCGCCGCTTTTGTTCGTATGTTCGTATGCTTCTTTTTCTCTGAAAGGTTTTTCGTCATTGTCGTAGGGAGGTCCGTTAGCTTTCCTTATAAATAGTTTTTATGAAGATTATAAAAGTGGCATTTATTGACAGCACTTTTAATTTATGATTTTCGCTGGTTGCAGTTGTTTAAAAAATAAATCCCAACTAAATGTTGAAATAATTTTGATATGATTTTTAAAAATCAGAATAGGAGAAAATGAGCTTTTGTGGCGTTTATTAAATTGAAAAATCAAAATAGCTGTCAAAAGGTAAAGAATATACTCTGCATAATAACAAGATGTGTGACAAAGTATTTATATAAATCTTACAATTTATATTTACATGGAGACAAATATTTTACTAAATTCTATGTGCAACTGAGTATAGGACTATGTACTATAAATATATTATTTTCTGTTTTCTAATTGAATAAACTTTAAACTTAACTCACCATTCTGTAAGATGTTTATTGATATAAACGGTAGAATAGATTATCAAGAACAGAAGCCAGTCAGAAGCGCATTCACTAGCAACAGCAATAACTAATTCAGTAAACAGTAGACACTAGAATGCCAGTTTCGACAGCGATAGCCTGTCAGTGCTACATGCCATCCTAAACCCCGTCCACAGTTCTCCTTTCGACAGTAACATTAAAAGGGACATTCAAAGGGCGTTTCAGATACCTTAATTTCCATCTCCACTGGATAAAGTCACACATCGGAAATATGCCGAGCAGATTCACTGGCAAAGGAGGCAGCTCGCACCATCGGAGACAATTCGCAACTGCTCTGCCATACTCTCACCTCAAAACAGTCGTCAATAAATTGGCCAAAGCGAAAAGGCAAAACGAATGGGATCATACACCGCAAAACATAGCGTCTAACTGTTCTTTCCCGAAGTCAGCAATGAAGGGTATACTTTCCTTCTCTGCTAACCTGCTATATTACAAGTTATAGCCCATTTCTGGTCTGGTTTCATAAATGATGCTTAAGCAATACTGACCAGTGCATCTGTGGTGGCACGGGAACTCTCGAACCTTACCTGACGAGCTGCCCACTGACATCCAGCCACAATCCCAAATTTCCGTAAACTGAAGACGACAGAATCCCGTACCAACGCTATATCATTAAGCAAAAGGCACAAATCACGAAAATCAAGGCTATTCTGGATATCCTGGCAGCACACGAGCTGGATCTGTGTGATGTCACTTAATTTTCTCCTTTTTCGCAGTCGCACAGTATACCACCAAAGCAACATGTAGATTGTTTTTAACATGACTCCCACTATTACTTCTTTGCGATTCTTGCGAAATCACAGAGGGAAGTGGATTTTGCAAGAGCGGCAAGCATCGAACTATGCCTGTCTAACTGGTATATGATTTCGGCAATGTACTGGTGTCCCCGTCTTTCCGTTATTTGTTACCTACTTACAGAAACTGTGCAACCAGTAAAAATGCAATAATATTTAATAATTTAAATTTAAGAACGATCAAAAGGCTTATACCTTTTTGCAATACCTAAAATTTATAAATTTTCTGCTCGACTCAACCTCTAAGATAAAATAACAAATGCCACATTTCTCTGACTACAACATACTGACTGAACAACATACTGATTGATTCAACATACTGACTGAACAACATACTGATTGATTCAACATACTGACTGAACAACATACTGATTGATTCAACATACTGACTGAATTCGCAAGGGCTACACACTGACATATGAAGTTTAACTTGTTTTACTGACATATGAAGTTTGACTTAAGTTTCACTTGTCTGTTAACGTCTGTTAGAATTTTGATACTAATTTACTTGGTAACGTAAATTAGTATCAAAATTCTAACAGACGTTAAGTGAATTATCGCTGAGTCTGGGCAGAGAGACAAAGTTTTTTGAAGGTTTTAAAACAAACCTTTTTATTAAATGAGAACTGGAATATAAATGTTCGACTCATGCTTGCAAATCAGACAACCACTTGTGGTGATCAACCTTAAGTAACAGACAAATTCAAAATTTAAATTTAAGTAAGCTAGTAGCCAAAAGCTATACAGGTGAATTTAATGCGAAGTCGGATGTCAAATCGAACCAGCGTAAGTATTCAAATATCGGCAATTATAATGCAAGTCCGAAGATTACAAATCTTATCTGAGCTAGCAACGTGGCCTGGTGAAGCAGAACACTCTCCGTCTTACAATCTAAAAACCTCAGCTTAAGTACACGTGAGCTAATTTACAATCTGGCGAGAAAACGAAAGGGAGAAGTGACAATAAAAATCCGGAACGTAAAATAACTGATTAGATTAACATAATGAAACGTTACCAAACATTAACACTTTATTACTTCTATTTGTGTTGCGCTTGAAAACGGATAAAAGTTTCAACTTTACGATTTTTTTTTTTTTTTTTTTTTTTTTTGCGCACTCTTCTTCAAGTAATAATTATTCATATGTATCAGACTTGTTTTATGCCTATGTAAAATGTTTGCTAAATTTTAACCATGTTTATGATATCGTCTATGCATTTATCATTTTTCTGTTATAATATACGTTTCTCCAGATTTACATGTATGGGTGGCTTTTGACAAGTATTACATTTTTCTCCTAAGTGGGTACCATTTCCTGTAAAAACTATTCCTAATTTAGTTTTCAAGTGCTTTATTTTTAATGACTGTCAGCGACTGGTATTGTAATTGTACTGAGTCCAAGTCAAATGTACTCTTTAAGTCTCTTGACAAATTTAAATGCACGAAACTATTTTTAACTGAGGATGAGACTGCTGAATACGGCTTATTCGACCTAACTTTACAACATAGCGAATAAGCTGCCTGTTACGAATTTTCGTGTATTTCCCTTGTGTAAAGTAAATGTGAATCAAGACACAATAACAAGCCGAATAAATACTAATTCAGAAGTCAAACAACAAAAATCAGCTTTATATTTACAAAATTTTCACAGGACTAGTTTCGATGGTTTTACCGAAACTAGTCCTGTGAAAGTCCTGTGTCCATCTTCAGCTTTTTGCGGTTTTGCAGGTTTTACCGAACCACCATCTTCAGCTGCAAAACCGCAAAATTTTGCGTTTTGCGGTTTTGCAGCTGAAGATGGTGGTTCGGTAAAACCATCGAAACTAGTCCTGTGAAAATTTTGTAAATATAACGCTGATTTTTGTTGTTTGACTTCTGAATTAGTAAATGTGAATCAGTTTTCCTTAGACAATCCTACAAAGGTATGCCTCACTCAGACAGACAGTCTATACGTGCTTTTCAGCAATATAGGTTGTCCCGTAAATGTTGCGACAAACTTCTGGGGAAGGTAGGGCGCATCATAAGGATTAAGAATTGTACATGAACCCAATGCTCGAAAGTTTTGGTGGTAAGTGGTAGCAGAGGTGAAGCTGGGAAAGGAAAGAAGAGAGTGATTAATAGGAAACATTTATTGGACATGCATACAGTGGTGTATGCCAGCTTGAATGTTACGACAGATATTCGAAGTTTGCACTATCAGACGCTAAACATACCTGACATCGACAGACCATTGATTGCCGGACATGTTCAAAGACGCCGGCAGTTCCTTTGAATGTAGCAGCTGCGCAGGCGAGTCTTGCCATGAGATCCATTTCAGATACAATAGGATCGTGATACACGACACTTTTGGTGGTTCCCCAGAAAAATAAATCAAGGATCGATAAATCCGGTGAGTGTGTGCTCAAGAGATCTCCGTTCGTATAGCTTTCCCTGCTGTTCGTATGGTGCTTACCGCTCGAATGAAGTAATCATCAATTTCTACTAGCACTCTCCTGTGCAACACCCTTGGCGGCGTATAGTGACGTTTCTGGGCAGGGGTTCTTATGCAATTCCTAGTCCTTATGATGTGCCCTACCTTCCCCAGAAGTGTGTCGCTACATTTACGGGCATTGTATAGTCTATTTGGTTACGACTTCATGTTTAAGATTTTGAAAAAAAAAAAAAAAAAAAAAAAAAAAAAAAACACCATTTTTCATGCATTGACTTGGACAAAAATTTAACATTTGTACAGCAAACTAGTAATACAGCATTTCCAAAGCATTATATGTAAAACACGGATTAAAACCTGTCATTTTAAAACGCGCTAAACTATTTCTAAGACAGTTAGCCACAGTTTCAAATGTTTTGTGATCTTTTGTAGAGGTCGTTATCTTCGAGAGGTAATGATCAGTAGCAGTGTTTACTTATATTTTTAGCAATATTGTTAATCGCTTTCGAAAATGGTCTTTTTAGGAAGTTAATCATCTTGAAAGGATTCACTGTATTTTCATAATCTTCATGTAAATGAAAGCCTAATAGCGATTTTACAACATGGAAACTTCTAAAAGTTATTTTATTAATTTTAATGTTAAATACAATTTTTATATATGTATATAGGATACTGTTTTAATATATTGTTCGGGATATTTAGATTACTAGTCTTATAGTGAGTTATCATTCACTGTTCACGAGCTACTAAGCAACTTAAGAATGTAAGACATTGCTCTTTTTTTCCCGAGTGCCTTCGTGGTGTAACTGGAAATTATGTTCGACTAACAATCGGAAGGTCCGGTGTTCGAAGCACGATGAGAAAAAAAGCACATTTTATACTTCTTCTGCTCCAAAACAAAAATGCCTAATGACTCTTCACGTGTATGTTAAATAAAAGGGCATAAGAGAAAAGCAGCATGTTGTTCTTCATATGACTTGAAACACATGACTCATGAAATTGACAAGTAAGTCACATAAATTGGCTTACTTCACATGGATTGAAACGCAACGTTTTGGCTTCTAACTTGCTGCGTTCTTCTTGCCATCTGGTGATCCTTCATGGTGTAACTGGAAAACATGTTCGGCTAACATACGGAAGATACGGAGTTTGAATTTCGTTTAGGGTGATACACATTTCTCACATCTTCTACCCCAAAATAAAATTCCCTAATGGCTCTACATTTGTATGTTAAATAAAAAGATATAAGGAAAGAAGCTCCATGTTGTTAATTGACTTGTTTTACGTGAACTGAAATGCAATGTTTTGCCTTTTTTCATTCTGTGTTTTCCTCGCCATCTCATGTTCTGTTGACCATAATTGATAAGAAAGTTAAAAGATCTAGTGGAGTTACGGATACTTCAAAGAAAACATTATACTTAATTAGAATTCAGCAACTAAGAAGTTTATTAGATGGAAAGAAGCTGATTTCTTTCTCTCTAGTTTTTAAAGTTATTAGTAGAACTATAATGTCTTCCGTGGTATAAGTTACGTTTAACATAAATTTATTTATTAAGAGCTCAATGAAGATAACAACTTAGTTTTCTTTTTTACGAATTTTAAATTTTAGTGTCGATGATGCATGAACATTTAAAGGAAGGTATCGCGCAAGAATCTGAGTATTTGAAAACTGAAAAAAAGTACTTTTCGCCTTATCAAGCTATAATTAGAGAAACCAGAATTTTCCTAATTTCCAACATGCGACTCTTAAAGATATGCCATTCCTGGTTTACAGCTTTGTATTACTTGCACATTAATATACTTAGTTTCATATATCAGGCAACTGCTTTTAATTTTCATTTAAATTGTATCATCTCTTGTTTAACATCATAAAACGAGTTGTTTGAATGTTATTTCAGATGAAATACTTCTTGTGATTTGACACTCAAATCAAATGCTCATTTCAATGTTTAATATTTTTTAGATCTTCAACTTTTGAATAAATGATATCAGAAATGGAATTTCTAAAAATCAACAGAGATTTACTTCCTCTCAAAATTCACTATATGATGCTTCATGGAGGTAAGTGGGAGCATGCAGAATGTATTTTTAGCCAATGTGAGTGCTATTATCAGATTAGAATGAAACCCGAATTAGTAAATCATACGTATTCCTTTATTTAAAATTTCTGATTATTAAACAAATATTTCTTTTAAAATTCATTTGTGACAATTTAAATTTGAAAAGTTTGAAAACAATAATATTTACCAGTTCGCAACTAAATGCATATGAAAAGGAATTCAAATAAAATATCTTAATTATCTTCATGTACTTTAAATGATATTATTAATGTACGGGTATTGAGACAGTAACCCTAATGTATTTCGTTAGAAATATTTTTGTGCATTTAAGTCATTATGTTATTGTGTCATTGCTATTGCTTCAGCATCATTTTACTCCACTCCCTACTTTGTCGAGTAAAACTGCTCAGTAGAACTAATGACTTACCATTCTTATTAGCTATTGAAAGAATCTCTTCCTATTTTCTAGCGCCATGTTCATACAAAAAGAAAAATAAATATTGGGAAACCAACACAACAGGAATAATGACTATAATTAAGGGAAAAGGATTAAGTAGTCACGCATTGCTCGCTGTTCGACGCTTCACTCACATGGTCTAACGCTTGAGACTTTGGGTTACATAAAGTGCATTCGATAAAAAGGAACAGAAGATTCTGTAGTATTAATGTTTTAATATTTGTCAAAACTATTAACTATTGTTATTTAAACATTTATCTCAGTGTGGCATTATATATGCAATAGCACTCTCATAAAAGACTTTGGGTTTTCTTGGAACTATTTCTGAACTTTTACTTTCATGTTATCATCCCAAACGGAATCGTTGTCCTCATAAAGGAATCTCTGACCCACCAAAAGCTGTAAAATCATAGGATAGAATATTCACCACGTGATTTCGAATTTCCTGAATCACATCTGTTAAGTTACACCAAAGTAAAAAGAAAGATCTGGACTGCAGGAGTGGGGAAGGATGACTTTCTTGTTGAAGTAACGTTGGTTATAGTCTCTGTATAGGACAAAACGTGATCATGGAAAAAACAAGCTTCAGTTTGAAAACGTTCGTGGTCTTTTCGACTTTATTGACTAGCGCATTAAAATCAATACCTTCCCATAAAATTTAACATTTGCTATAGCTCTACATTACATGAAACTGACAAAACGTTATCTTTACTGATCAAAGAAAAATATCAACATTGCCTCCTCACCCTAGTGCAACATGCCTTGGACTTTTGGGATGGCACGAAACCTGGATGTTTCCCTTGGATAAATAGCAGTTTGACATCGCTCAAAATGATGACATCATAATTAGTTGGCCGTGACTAACCATGTCAGGAAGTTATCCCCTTTTGTGGTGTATGGCTTCAGAGATTGCAGACGCAGCCTTATAACATGCTTCTTGGTCCTCAGTCAAGCTGTGAAGCACTCACTGGCCGCATGTTTTATAGAACTTCCTTCGGTTTTTAATAATCGCATATACAGTTCCAGCATCAAAACAGAGAACATCAGCCAATTCTCTATTGACGTGTCAATACACGTCAGTCTTGATTCACTTTTGCAATAAGGACATCCGTAACTTTGGTGCCTCACTCTGCTACTAATCTGTCAACGATGACTTAAAATATCTAGAGGATTTGCACCACTCCTTTAGCCTCCCAAGAGACACGCAGTGTTCTCTGCATAGCATCTGTCAACGGATTTCAGTATTAAATAACCCTTCTGTAGTTGAAAAACGCAGTATTTCTTTTTATTCTTCCGGTATTTCCATGTCTTATCTCTGAACACGCTTTAAATGCACTGCTTGCTTGGACGGTGCCCGGTTGCTTTATTACCTTTTGCTTACGTCCACACATTTATGAAACGCTATCTCTAGCATTATAAGCATTCGTGAGATATGTTTTTTTCTTCCAAACTGTAATTATTCCTTTGATGCTTCAATAGCACTGCTTAAAACGCCGGTTTCTCTCAGAAAACTTCAGCTATTTTACTGAATATCCGTTATAAGAACTCCTAAAAAGCGTCGTTTTATTTGTGCAACAATGGTTGGTACACAAGGGTATCTGAGCGACAAGGCTCTACTCCTTGTAGAACAGTTTAAGAATTGCGAATGGTATGATGAAATAACCTAAAAGATATCTAAGGTAATTTGTTTTTTATAATAAAGTTTTTAAAGTGAATAATTAATAATTTAGCATTGATATTTAAGGCAGGAATTAGAGAATCCTAATTAAAGTATTAAGCGATGTCAAATGAATGTTTGCCAGAAGTCGTTGAGCTGGTGAGTGTGTGGATAAAGACAAGGTTAGGCGAACACTTGGTATTTTGAATCCGATAAGCAAGACATAAATACTATGAAAGTAAGACTAAAAAGAATGCGTAGCAGATACAGTAAGAGAAGGTTAACATAAACCGTGATGGCATTATAAAAATATTACATAATATATACATTCCGTTGGGCCATGGGCCTGTCCATATTTGCTAGGTCGTTGTAGTCATAATTGCAAAGCTTAATGGCCGGGTTGTGAATTATTGTTTGCCTTTCATGAAAGCTTTTAGCAAGTTTATAATAATGTAAGCGTAGTTGTTCTTTATGAACTTTCCGTACCCAGTTCTTTATGAATTCTATTGTTGCGGATAACCACTCCGCTTTAACTATTTGGCCTAAGAACAGAAAAAAGCGTCTTATATATTCACATAAGAAACTATTCTTGATTAAATAACTGCGAAATATAAAATATTATTATTTATACATATCTGTGAAGCAGATAGATTCATTCTGTTCAAACTGCCCTTTCAAAGAATGAAATTCATAGAATATATAAATGGAATATTTGCTGAAACGCGGTTGTTAAGTAATTTCAAAATAAAGACTAATCGCTGTTTACAGCAGGATAAAAGTAGTTCTGGTTCAGAAAAGAAACAGATTGTAGTGTCTCATTCAACAATTGTCATTTATATTATTGTCAAAAATGGGCTGTTTTCTGACAGTTAAATTTCTCCTCGTAACAAAAATTTAAAATCTCATTTCCTTTTATAAACCGAAATCAAATATTTCAAAGAAAAAAAATATGGCTGAATTTTATTCCATATGAATTTCACTACAGAACGCTGACCTTATTGCCTGTAATTTGTATTTTCATATAAGAAGAGGAAATATAGTAAATTTATATTTTAAACGCTCTTTGACCCGTTTGTACTTAAGACATTATTCTGTTTCTTTTCTATTCTTGAAAAGATAGCCATTTTCATAATTCTTGTCACAACTGTTGTATAATTTTATGCTACCGAAACCCCTCTTTAAGACGATGTCTTATGACGGCTTAACTTCTATGGAGTTGTGAGTCTCATAAAGATGTTAATTCATGTTCTCAGAAATACTAGTCACTTGCAGAGGTCTTAGAAAGATAATCGCCCTGCAAAGCAAATGCTTTCATTAAGATTTTTCCTTCTCAAACTTATCGCGATTTATTAATTCAGAATTAAGTAATTCTCAGGTTCCCACCCAATCCAATAAAATATAGCCAAAGTATCAGCATTGTAATAACATACTCTGAGACAGGAATTATCAAACTTTCTTACCGCGGCCATCCATTTTATCGCATTATTGTTATTATTTTCTAAGCAGCAAGCCTTTGCAGCAAAACTTATAGCATTACACTGTAGTACAGAGAAATGAAACCAATAACACAAAAATACTATAATATCAAACAGTGATATAATACTTAATCAAATATAATAATAATCTGGCACAAAATAATACATACAATATGGTGCATAATAAGCATAATATCAAAACCATTATCGCAAGACATTCGCGACTTTCTTGAGCCTTTTAAACCTCACAGGTATTACATTATGATCATTTCTCCAGGTATATCCAGTGGAACATTTTTCCCAGCAATAAAGTGCCATGATGGAATTTTTCATTTTTTTTTTTTTTCTGATTAATATATCTTTGCGTTTTTTAATTTCCAGTTTAAAATATCTGTGCTTATCATACAGCATTTGTTCAGAAAGAATTTCATAAATTCTTCTTAATTAAGGTGAAATTATTCTATCCTTCATGGGCAAAAATTTCAATTGATTGATAGATTTGACACGAAAATTATGTTCAGGTTTCGTTTGGTTAATAAATGCTTCAGTCACCTTCCCTCCCACAGTGCTGTTAAGTTTCATTGTATGTGTGCATGGAACTATAATTTTGGCTTATAAAGCATTTTTTATTATTATTTTGTGCTCTTTGTTGACAACAATTGTTTGATACTTAGACAATAAAATTATAGTTATAATTAATTTTTTTGTATATGCTAATTTTTGTATGACATTATTTCATATGCTTATTATTGTTTCACGCAAGGTTTAATAGTTTATTTATTAATTAATTATTGTCATTCAAATTTTTGTCAACAATAGAAGAAATATTTTCATATTTTTCTTTTCACAAGTTCTGTTTTGTATCTTTTTTTTTTTTTCAGAACTATTGTTAAAATTATGAATGTAACTCTCCGCATTTACACTTTTATTTTTTTCTCCCTATAGCTAATGCTGGAGTCGTCTTCTTCTTACCTGTGTATGCAAAGCAACTGGGAATATCAGCCAACGCTGTAGGAATTATTTATGCTGTTATTTTTTCAATAACAGCAATTACAAGTCCTTTTATCGGAAGTCTAGTTGATCATTTTCAAAAGATGAAATCAGTACTTATATTTTTGATGTTTATAAGCATTTCAGCAGTGTTAAGTCTTAATTTCATACCATTACCCACAAAAATGAATGTGAACATCACCAACATTACACTATTATGTTACGAAACAAATTCTTATTTGGTTGACTACGAAGGCCGTAACTGTGGACATGGCATATGCAACTCTACAAATAACTGCAATTCATCCTGTGTTTTATTTAAATCAAGAAGCAAAGATTACGCCAAAAACGAGGAAGGAAATTTTATAAAAATAGTGGGCGAAGGAGTCTTTCATGAGAGTTTATTCAACAATTATACAAATTCTACTAAAATCTTCTTGAAATGCTCTCTTGGAGATAGTATTTGTGCTGAAAACTGCCACTCTACAGAATATTTTGATCAAACTAGTGAAACCAACCAGCTACAGCAGTTATGCTTGTTCAGTGGTCTAGTAGCTATAGCTTATACAGCTTACGGCTCTCTAATTTCTTTATCTGACGCAGCATGCTACAATGCACTTGGCACGCAGCCTCATTTGTATGGTAAACAACGTATGTGGGGCACCATAGCCTGGGGCCCTCTCTCTGCGTTAATAGGCTTTTTGAACGATATATTTACAGGAACGTCAAATGTCTATGATTTTTCGGCCGGTTTTTACTTATTCGCCATTCTTCTTATTATAGATATGCCAATTGTGAATAAATTGCATTTAAAGCCTGCAGAAAGATCTAAGAACATCTGTAAAGATGTTGGAAAACTGCTTGTAAAATTAAGAATAATTTTATTCATTCTGTGTTGTTTTTTTATAGGTACTGCTACTGGTTTATCACGAACGTATTTATTTTGGTACTTGCGAACTTTACATGCAAGCCAACTAATTTTAGGTTTAGTCGTTGCAGTCATGTGCTTCTTGGGTGAACTGCCATTTTTCTTTTTTTCGGGATGGATCATTAACAAAATAGGACACGTGAATACATTCCTTATGGCTTTTATAGCTTTTGGATTAAAATTTATATTTTATTCATTTTTAACGAACCCATGGTTGGCTCTTCCTATAGAGATTTTACAAGGAGCTTGTTATGGGAGTTTCTATGCTGCAATGACTTCCTATGCCAAGATAGTCGCTCCAAAAGGAACTGAAGCTACGGCTCAAGGACTCGCTAGTGGAGCATTTGAAGGTTTAGGTAAGAAATTCTCATTTAGACGCACACTAATTATTTTTCCAAGTTGCTGGAAAAAAGAAACATGTGGTATAAAATGTGATGTAACTGAAAATTAAGAGTTTTTTATTGAGATTTAATCCCGCCTCCCCGCAAATGTTTAATTCAGGTGGTTTGAAACTTGCGTACTGAATTTAATTTCGTTTTATATAAAGTTAACTCTATAATTTAATACTGAGTTATGAAGAATGTAATTGGAAGTTCTGGTTATTATTATTATTATTATTATTATCTACCCTAAAGTCCCTAAAATACATTAAACTGCAGCAACGTTTACTGTGTGAGGAACATTTCTGAACATAAATTCTCTCTTTCTTATACTATATTAATGTACAATTAAATTACTTTTATTTTAATCTTTCCTTCTATTTATGGGCGACTATTAAGCAGTTATCTTCAATTAATGGCTAAATGATATGATTTTTCTAATTGAATAGCAATCACGATAAGGAGTAAACCAAAATCTTTTTTGATCCATTGACAAACTTTTCTGTGGAAGATGGTGATTATTATTTAATTAAGAAATTAAAATTAAATATGTAAATACACGTTTATTATCATTACGTAATAACAGAAGAAATTAATTTTAGCTTCTTCATCTGTGCATATATGTGTGCGTGCGTGTGTGTGAGTGTGTTTTAATACGTATCAGGTCATTTGCCTAACACTCAAATGCACGGCAGCTTAAATAGCTGACGCCACTTGCTCGACAAATACGTTTGCTCGACACCACTTACCCAACTATTGCGTTTGCCCGACAAGTTGCTTTTTTTATTCACGCTAGATGGCAGTATTCACTTCGTCTTTTCACCCTTTCGTTTCTTTGGCGGATGCTCTTTGTTTCCATTTGTTTGATCTTTTTCTTGAGCCTGTGGAGACGATCTGTAGTCTTGAACTGGTTGATTCACATGATTTCTCGAAACAATGCTGTGGAAATTTATATCTTCTTGAGGTACACGAATTTTTCTATTAATTTTTTCTATAACTACGTAAATAGTAACAGGATATGTTCTAAATCGTACAAGAATGCGAATAATTATGGTTGGATCTTAGTGCCTACATGCAGCAGGTCATTAAGTGAATATCCGCTGGACGTTTTTACCTATGAGTCAAACACAACACTTAATTTAGTGCTAGTGTTTAATGGGTTAATACTAATATAATGGTGAAATAACTAATATACTACTGGAAGGATAGTTTCAGAATCAAATATGACTTCCATATGTTGCAAAAGCAAATATTCATCAAGAAAATTTTTATGTAATTCATACAGTTCAGGTTTATTAACCAACCTATTTTCTGACAGCAAAAATCTCCTCAAAGCTAATTCCTCTGAATTCCATAATTCTGATTTCGATGTCTTGAATGGTAATCTTACTACATATCTCCTGCATTGTCTCTGTTATGACAGCTTTAATGTTCTTTACACTTTACTTCGAATTTCAACAGAAAATTTCTTTCGAGACTGTTTTGAGTCTAAAATTTTTTAACTAATTCCTCAGTATTTAACTCTACATTACTTACCGATATGCAAGAGTTCACATGAAAATTAAATAATAATGTTCCTGTAATGATCCAATCTAATTTTGAACGAACAGCTGTTGGAAGTTTTTGGTTTCCTTTAATTGGTTAACCCATAACAAGTAACATGAAAATATTGGCTTCTAGAAGAATATCTATTGAAGCAAATTCATAAAATGTAGGATTCCCAAAACCAGATCATTGAAAGAGTTGACAATATTTGATGACAAAAGCATATGCCATAAGTTTCGACAAATCTTGTCTGTGGCAAAAACAGAAGTTGTAAAGAAGGTTCAGAACCAAAATGAGTGGAGAAAGTAATCTCCAGTTCTCCATTTGTTTGAGATGCGGTTGTTCCTAAACAAGATATCCGGATATTTGCCTATTTCTATCCAGAAGTTCTGAAGTAAAACTCTTAGTAATAAAGTTTATCAGTGAGCCAGAATACAAAAAGACTTGACAATGTGCGAAATAACTGGACTACTGTCTCACGAACTATAATTATAGCAATGCTTAACAAAACCTATTTGTTTATAATTCCACTGTTTACAAAATTAAGAGTTTGTCTGATTAAAATAATTAGAACATTATATAGTATTTTTTCTCACATATCGAGGAGCAAATAAATTTTCATGAACTGATAAAATATTTTGATTATTACGGCGTAGTAATTATTGAGCTATATTAAATAAAAAATCAAATTTTTAGAAACTACTGATTTAAAAAATTTTATACAAATTTGAAAATTAGCTACAGATATTTGGACATGATTCCCAGCATTTATTATTTATTTGTCTACTCTTTTTAAGATCATTTGTCAATTATGCAGTGATAAAGAGATAAAAACGGGAATTCATAAAAAATAGGTTTTATAACCGAATAAAATAGTTTCAGTTTAAAATTTGTCTAGAGCACAAACGTACTTTCCTCAATGCAGGATAACAGAAATAAGAATATATAAACATATAATTTATAAACAGCAGCATTAATCAAAAAAACTATGAGTCCTTATCAGTTTATGTGAAATGTTTCTTTCTAATCATGAACTCTTATTTTGCTTTTAAAATTTAACTAATTGCTACAATATACAGTTACTTAACGGTAAACGATACAGTTCGTTGCTACACAGAAGTTACAACAAACTGAAGTGAAGTGTCTCAAAGAAATAAATGAAGGCTGAATAAACATCTGCAAACATCGATATTGAAATTGTTTGATAATAAGATGTGAATAACTTTAAATATGCGTTTTTTTTAAATTATTCGTAATAAAAACATTTGAATTTATAAACTGCGTTTTATTTGTTGAAAAACTCGAAATAAAAATTTTATTTGGAGGGGGGGAAGAATTTATTAGCATATTTTGTATGCATTTAGTTTTTCAGTTAGTCCGATTTCAAACGGTGTGAAATAATGGCGGAACGAGTTAGTCAGGCTGTGCAGAGTATTTTTGTATCTGATTTTTAAGTGAATTTGCGCGAAGATCCTTTCGTTTTCAATATAAATTTAAATCACAGCTTATTGCTAATCAGTCTCCTATCCCTGTGGATTTTGTTTTGCAGTTAGCTGCTTGGTAATTTCATGCTCGAAAGAGTATAGCAAAACTAACTTGCGTCTTTTAATTTTTTATAATTAATTTTAAACATAATCAAATTCATATGAATTTTATTTTACCGTTGTTCGATTGTTCTATCGAAGGAAAAAGTGCTGTTCATTAATATGCCAAGTTTAGCAAGTTATCGCCAATGTGCAGCCAAGCTAAGCAAATCGAGCAATCAAGGACCTTAGGTGGGGGTTAAGTTTCTTAAGTGTGGGGAGAAGTTTAGGCTAAAAGTCCATTGTATTCCTTTTCGACTCAGCTCCCAAGACTGAAAGTGGACATCGACTCTGTCCGCTTTCGTTACGGATCCGTACGTCCCCCTATTTTCTCACCTCATGAAAATTCCTCATCTTAGAAAAGGATAAACCAAACTGAAAGCACGAAAAATACAATTAAAATATAGAAACATACCATATTTATTTCAGTAATAAGAAAGAAAAAATAGCTTGAGGATACAAGCATTAACAATTCTCCATCTGCCAAGTGTAGCAAGTTACGAAATTCGTTTGTAAGTGTTTCTGTAAGATCAAGATCATGTTTCGGTTAAGTTGTGAAGATAACAACGGATGCGTAGCCACCTCGCGACAGCAATTCTACCTTCCTACAGCGATTCTACATTTTTAGTATGTTTTTTAGCATTTACATATTACCAAAATATCCAGTATGTCTTTTCACTAAGAATAGCGAAGAACTTTCTCATTGAAGTAATAGCCGAGAAAAGATGTTAATGATGCTAAAATGTAAGAAAATGCAACAGGAAAACAAAACAGTTACTAGTCAGATTTATGATAGAACTGAACATTCTTCTGTATACATCTATTTCTAAAACCTACCTTCATGGAGCTTCACAGGGTTAATATTCATGGGCAGACAACTACAGGGAACCTCCGATAACAAAGGCAAATGCTCTTTCAAGAACATCTTGGAAATAAAATTTGCGCAATGCAAAATGTGTATTGTTCAGCTATGAATCTACCTACTCCATCCTTCGAATTTTTAGAAATGTAAAAACGATGCGTCGAAAACTAATTTAGAAGTGCATGATCTGGATAATCTCATACACAGTTTGGAGCATAGAAATAGATTGTTAATAAGTTGAACCACAATTTCATGGAGATATCTGAGAATATTGATTGTTCTTGATAGTAACATTGATTTTATTTAACATTTACAAGATTTATCGATGGATGAAATCCACCCGATTATTTAAACTTAGAATCCCGAATGACGTAACGTATCAGAATGAGTATGCCCCAGTTCATGCCGCAAAACTCATCAGAGAATGGTTTGAGGGACACGAAAGAGAGTTTGAAAAACCTTCCACTTTTTGCACAGTCTTCCAGTCTCAAAACCGTTGAAGTTACTTGGAATATTCTAGAGGAAATTATTGGAAAAGTTGTTTTTTTTTTCTTAGAAATCATAAAGTGAAATAACCACTTTTTTGCATGAAAAAAGGGTTTAAATATCTTTAATGATTGATTTAAACTTGTGTCAATCACTCAAAAACGAATTATTGCAGTACTGATTGCAAAACGAGGGCCTAAACTTTGTTAATAATAAAATACTACCCTCTAGATAAGTATGTTTAACTTTCGTTTGTAGGTTTTGGATGCAATGATCGAATACATATTAGTTAAACTGCTTAACATTTAACTGTATGTAATTATTATATTATTATTGTATAAATGTAAAGTAAAATCTCTTACTTTATTCATGTGCAGTGTGGTATCTGAACATGATAACTGAATTTAAAAGAATCTGAAACCAAGTCCGAACTTAAAACTGCATTAGAATTTGACATTTAAGTCATTGAGATGATTTTTCTTCTTTTTCTTCTTTTTGTG